AGCACAGGAGAGGCACTTGCTTTCGCTGACTGAGGGCAGCGCTTGGGGCCCGCAGCACGGCAGCAGCTTGAGGAAGCGCTGCTTCAGCGCCCTTTTAGTGTGCCCTGGAGGGTGGCCTGGGAAGAGAGAAGAGCCCAGGAGCGTACGTTAAACCTCCCCATCGCCTGTTCCCTCGTTCCCGTGCCCCCTGGTGCAGAACAACCCGGCTCGGGAGGGGAGGGGCGAGGAGGGGAGGCGATGGTAGCCTGGGTGGGGAGGGTCCTGCTGGATCTAAAGGCCTGGGAGGTCAGAGGCAGGGTCCGAGGACATAGGGCCTCGGTGGGAGAGATCCTGGTACCCTCAGGGCGAAGCACTACCTAGGCAGAAACACTCCTCACAGTGACGTGTGTGTAGTGACCCACACAAGAGCCCCACACACAGGGACATGCATGTGTACTGACACATAGAATGACAAATCACAGGTTGGTGCCAGGGACAGCTTGCTACCCTGTGGCACCCACATGATGGCCTAATACACTCCACACGCACGCATGCATGAACACACACACACACACACACACTTTTACCTACTACTCCTTAACACAAGCATGTGAATGCAGCCTAAGTAGACCATGACACACACGTAGAGACCCACCTAACAGGCCATATGGCTCACAGCATGATCAAACCACACAAGGACTCACGATGGCCCTGGGGCACCCTCACACTGTTAACTCTCCCAAAGCCGGGCGGGGTGGCACACACCTGTAATCCCAGATTCAGGAGGCTGAGCAGAAGGATAGCTGTGAGTTACGGAAAGCCTGAACTACACAGTGAGACCCTGACTCAAAAACCAAAACCCCCGCCATGATGCACATCGACGTTACTATGACAGCCCACTTCAGGCTGTGTCCCCAAGGCACCCAGACCAAAGCTTGGTCTCATCCACACAGGGTTCATTGGTCCTGGGCACACTCTTCTTTCCTGTGACCCCTCATTCCAGGGTACCCTGAATCTTCTCCCAAGGAGCAGGTTCTTCATCAGCTAACTTATCCCTACTGCCTTTTCCACATCCTTTCCAGAATGGCTTGCTTTTCAAGGCAAAATGACAGTGGGCTTTGAGGCAATAGCAGACATTGGGGATGAGTATTTTGGTGTATTGAGGGGCTGTCCAGGGTCCATTCATCATGGCTCTCTCCCCTCCTCTTCCTTGTTTGGTGTGTTTGTCCTACAGCTCTAATTCTACCCTGGGGGCCCTCAGCAAAGGGGTGTGTGTGTCTCCCAGCTGCAGGCACCTCCAGATTCCTGGGCCAGAGGCCACTAGGCCCGATGCACTAACTAGAATGGACCTCAGTCCGTCCCTGGTGGGACCCAGTTTCCTTTAGTTAAATTACTCCCTATCCCAGCCCCCAAGCCACCCTTGGAACCAGACCTTGCTCCCAGGAGGTAATTGCCTGAGGTTAGTGGCTCCTCCCCTCCTCCCACCCTTCCTCTCCCAGGACCTGTGCAGAGGCCAGACGGAGGTGTGGGCCAGGAGGGGATCATGGTGGCCTGGCCCCCACCCAGGGCTCCATTAGCTGGAATGCTGGTTTGCCTCCGATGCTGTAGTCACTTGGCAGTGGCTCTTCCACTCCCCCTGCCCCTAGGTCCTCTGCCTGCTCCCAAGCCTTGGTCTTCTCTAGGTCCCGAGCAGGTGGGAATAGAAAGGGGCTGCCTTGAGACTGTAGGGTATTTCCCAGATGGGCCTTCTTCCCACCCACCAGTCTGAAGGAGATGTCAAGTTGGAGTCAGCTGACCTGATCTTTCCAGGGATAAGGACAAGCTCGCCCAGGCTCCCGGTCTCATTCTTGGTCCCCACAATGGTCGGTTGGTCACAGAGGTGGAGGATGTGCTTACTGAGCCTCAGTGCAGACTTACACAGGTCCTGTTTCTCTTGCCCCAGCTTCCTCCACATCCTTCCAGTTCTGCCAGAGTCCATCCCGAAGTCCGCCCCAGTGCCCAAGGTAGGCTTCTTGCCTACCTTGCCTGCCCCTGATGCAGCTGGCGAACAGCTATTCTATGGAGCTGTACAGCTCTTGTGAAGAGGAGGGGAGGCCAAAGCTCTGGGTGGAGGCAGAAGCACTCCTCTCTCTACCTCCAACTCCCCCTAGAATTTGGGGTGGGATGGAGAATTAATTTCCCAGTCCAAGGATGAGCCTTAGAGAGCATTCTGCCCTTTGGGTCGTGAGAGGAGTGAGGGGCTTGGGAAGCAGAGCCCCTGGTCTGACCCACTCCTTGCTCCCTGGCCAGGGCTAGGCTGTACTCATGCTGCGTGCTCCTGTCCTGCCCCTCCAGAGCCACTCGCATCCCAAGACACACATATAGCTGGGATCTCCTCAGGGAACCATGGGAGGGAATGGTGGGCTCAACCAGATACCCCAAAGGCTCAGCCACACTCATCCCGCTAACACGTTACACACTTGCCCTCCTGGCACACTTGGACACAGCTGTGCCCTGTTCCTACAGTCTACATACCCCCTAACCTACACCCACACCCAAGGGTGGAGTCAGCCAGTATTCAGAATTGTTGTAGTACTCTGGCTGCACAAGGGACTCCCCAGAAATCTGATATTGCCTCAGGGTCCCTGGACTCCTCTACTCCAGGTACCTCTTGTCCATCCCCGGATCCCCACTGCTCCTAGACTCCCCTTAACTCTCTTTACACCCAGCCCGCCCACACTGCACTCACCGCCTCAGGAGACAGCTGTCCTCCCTGCCCTGGCTCCTGGGGCTCTGCTCCCACCCTTCCCATGTCTGCCTGGTGGCTGTGACCCTGGTGCAGCCCCTCCTCACCACCAGCAGCTCAGCCCTGCTGGACAGACGCCGGTTACCTTCCAAGGAGACAGGTTCAAAGAGACCAAACTGCTCCAGGACCTTGAGGAGCACAGTGAGGACCACAAGCACAGTGACCATCTCCAGTCCGTGGGCTCATCAGGCTGGCATGGCACGCTCCGAGAGGCACAGAGGCTGGTCCGCTCACCTCAGGCCTTGCCGGCACACCACCACCACAGCCGCCCCAGCCTCCCACACGTGCCTCTGCCCCACCGCCTCCCAGCCCGAGCCACAGCTTCTGGCTCTTCCTGGGGCCACCTCAGCGTTTGATGGCACCTCCCGGGGACCTC